AAATGTCTTTACTCTTACCTCCCAAAACGTAACCTATTAAGAAAAAAAGGTATTAATTAGTATTGTGAAAGTCTTCGAGAATCATCAAGACGAGCAGAGAAAAGAAAGAGAAAAATATCATATAAAGAATAAGCAAAGAAATATGCGATAGCCTTTTACGTATAGGGAGACAATGATAACAGGGATTGTTACGGTTTTGTTAGTTCAGCGGTATGACAAACAAACAATGGGTTTTTAAATAGGAAATATTCATAAGATTATTCTCAATTCATATTTCAAAATACTGTAAAAGCTCCATAGAGCTCCTTTCTCTATTAACCCTCCCCCACCCCCCCTTGTCTAATAGCCCTTGCTTGTTTTTGACACAATCTTCGCTCCCTAATAACCCCCGTTCTCTCCTCCTTTGGGAAACCTTTGGAGCCTCCTCCTGTCTATTGAGCCATGCACGTCATCTTCAGCCCATCCCCAGGCTCGTAGCGGGAAAATAAAAACAACAACAGCAACAACAGCAAATTAAGTCGTTCACGTAATTCGAGAGGAGTAATTGATCCTAGAAGATGTTCCTCAATTAGAAATCGGCTCCGACAATGATGAAATTGCGAATGCAAAAGTAAACTAATGACGAGAAAACTCTTTTCCGTGTTTGTGAAAGGAAAAAAAAAAAGACACCGATAAATTGCATTTTGAGTTTCAGTTAATACTAACATATATTTAGCACTTGCTATATGTACAAAAATCATTTTCAGATTCAGTACATTAAGATTTGAAATAAGGCTCCCTCTCTATAAAACCCCCCTCTGTAAATAATTCTACGTTAACTGACATCTTTCTATTGCTAGCTAATGTGAATGATCTGAACGTAACAGGTGGACGTTTGCAGCTGTTTTTGATATTGGTCTGCCTCGGAAAATGTACACAAAATTCGACAAATGAATACGCACTTGCACAAAAGTGTTTATGGGCAATACCTAGTTAATTATGAACTGCAAGGTTATGGAAACCATAACAGGCGTAGTCTGTCCATGTTTTCGTCGTTATAGCCCAATGATTGGTAACAGTTTTTAAAACCTGCGATATATCCTTGATGAGAAGTCTTTGCAGCTTATAAAGATAAACTATCAAAGGCAGGACATTAAAACTTTCTCAGGTGTTCCAAACCTTCAGGCAATGATTGTGTAAAACCTGCAAATGTATCTTTATATAAAACCGTTAACACAAGAACATTAAGTACGATAATTAACAACACCTGGATCTGCCTTTTTCGCCAGGTTTCCAAGAAAAGTTGCCAAGTACTATACAGCCTTCTCATTTTCCAAACTTAAAGTTTGGTTGTCGTCTTGAATGCAGACATTCATATTACCAATAATCTGTTATTCCATTAGTATCGTTACCGCAGGAGAATATTGAAATTCGATGACCGATGATCTACATGCATATAAATCTTTGTTCATTTCTTTGCTGTCCTCTGTAAACACAAGAACGTGCAATGACCAAGTACTGCGTAGTATGAAGACGGATAAAGTTTCGTCTTTCCATTCAGAGTTGAACGCTGTCATTGCATATTTAGATTGAGCACGTTTTTGGAGCCATTGACGTACCGGACAACCGCGAATCTCGCTGGTAAAATATAAATTCCTTTTTTTACTAGGCGTCGTCCTCGGCGTCCGTTCGTCGTTGCTTAAGTTCCCTGTTAGGGAGCTTTAGCAAACCACGACGGCAACGGCGACGAGAACGTCATCAAACTAAAGGGTTAACGAGCAACACAATAGCTGTGCACGTGCGTTATAAATCTTCGTACATTTCTTTGTAGTCCTCTGCAAAACAACAACGTGAAATGACTAAGTTCTCCTTACTTTGGAGAACGTGAACTGCACTGGCTAATTTTTTGTTTCTTCCTTTGGAAATGAACGCTGTCATAGAGCACGTTTTAGACCGATAGGCGTACTGAACAAATCTACGCGGTTACGACATTGGAAGGTAAAATTTAGATCCATTTTTTTAAAAAGGCATTGTTCTCGGCATCCCTGTCGTCACTGCTAAAGCTCCCTAATAAGAAACTCGCGAGGCCTGATATCATGAAAAACAATAATGACCCATCGACACTGGTAAACCCAGTAGGCGAGGCTCTAACATGAAATCAGATGAAGAAGTGAAATGAAGTGAGTGGAATTTTGATAGCGAGCTTGTTAAAGTTATCGCGATTCAACAATCGAATACAAAGTTAAATAAACCACAATAATGGCAAATTACTCCCCACCTAAGTGGGCCTGGGAAAAAGGTCAGACAAGAGAGAGAAATGAATGCAGCAAAGTCTTAAAAAGTAAAAATTCAGAGATTTCTCGTTTTATCTTACCTACTCCCAGCAGTACGATCACAAAGGCCGAGTGGGACATTTTGATTTCGATGGTCCTGCACCGGAACGGAGCGCCAAATAAAAGTAAACCTGTATGGATTCACGAGCTATGCCTGTCACTTGCCTATCACCGGGAATGATGAAGGTGTATTTCATGGAAACTGGAATGTTGAAGGGTTATTTACACAAGGCGAGTTTACCTTCAAAAACGTTTCATTCACGAGAAGGAAAACGTGATCGCTTGCATGTATCATTGTTTTAGCCACGCACCAATCATTCAAAATTAGACCCGAAAACAAACACAGTTTGTTGAAAGTAAGAAACTAAACCAAGCATTGGTAATCAGTTTATCTTGCTAATACGAATAATACCTGACAAAGGTGGCGTCTCAGTTGCTCTGGTTTTGATTTCTGAGAGCAAGAAATTAAAAGCATAGATTGTTTTCAGTATCTTTGATTGTATTTGTTATTTTGGGCAGTTGTCGGATGATTGCTTCGCTAGAAGCATGAAACTCAGAGTAGCAATTCAACGTTCGTTGAACAAAGTGGTCTAACTCTGGAAACCTACTTATTAAAAGCTCTAGTTCATCTATTGAGTACTCTAATAGTCGATGAAGATTTCAATTCACTATTTCATTATATTTTACAACGTTAATTAGATGGTGAAACCGTTTCATAACTTTCCTCCGAGGAAACTAAACGAAGAGTCTCTCTCTTGAGTAGATGTATACATTTTGCTTCAGATCAATCAATATTAGTGGCCAATATCACCTCACTTTGTCACTTATCTATTGTCGAATTGAACTTGCGCGAAGATCAACGTTTAGTTTACTTAACAGTAACTCTTCGGTTCTTCTAAGCATCGGTATTAAGAGGTAAAATCAAGTTACATGAATAACGAAACCGATACCTTTTGAACAACTTTGTTTGTTTTCTGAAATTTAAACGTGGTTTTGTAAGCTTTCAATATTGGAAGGTTTTCAGTTTCTGAACCAGCGGTGCATATTTTGAATCACGCACATGAAATGATAACTACACAATGTAAAACAGCATACATAATGAACGATGTGTCAAAACATAATTTTCATACCATATATCAAACAAGAAAGACCGTTTGTGACCACATTTCCAAACACCGAGAAGAGAGTTGAAAATACGACCCGTAGCGGAGTATTTTTGACAAACTTCGAGGTGTTTGGAAATTTGGTCAAACACTGCCTTAAGTGTTTGATATATCTTCTCAATTNTGGTATAATCTGTTCTTTAATACATTTTCTTTGTCTAGTATCTGAGTTACTCGCTCGTTCACTCGTTAGATTTTTTACCAATGGTTTGTAGAGTCTGTAGACGGCGCGTAAGCCAATTCAATGACAAACTTGCGTAAACAAACCCACTTGTAAGCAATTTACCGCAAGAAAAAAAGATAAACATGTTATTGTCCGGCTTAGGGTCGGTCCGTATAGTGAAAAACTGTGACCTCGGTCACAGTTCTTCCCTATACGGACCTCCCAGCCGGTCAATAACATATATATATTATGCAAATTTGACAGCAGCGCATGCGAACGTTCTTTTCTACTAGTAGGACATCGAACGCGGGTTGTTGATTCACATAGGGGTGACCTCATAGCACCTTTTCCCCTTGGACAAAATTGCCCAGATGTTTTATTTCATGTTGTCATAGCAGAAGGACTTTTCTTTCCAACAAAGTTGTTTTCGACTTGACTGTATCGGACATACCAGAGTGCCTTTACAGCTTCTGAAACTAGCCAATTTATGAATATTTACATGAACCTCGTTAAAGCTCGAGATGGCATTTCTTCAGAGGACGCTGAAACCTTTTTAAGAACTGGAGAACTTTCAACAGTGCCATTGGTAAAAAAAAAGTTGAAAGGTTGCGCCCTTTTCAGAGTTTTTTCCAGGAGTTGCAAAGTGGTCAATTTTCATTTTAATGCATACATAATTAATGTGCAAATCTCATTTTGTCTATTTTTTTTGAACTTCCTCGAAAACTTTAACTGTTTGAAACTGACAATGGTATGTTCGAATATAAACGTGCTCTTTAGGCAAAGTATCAGGATTTTCGATCTTACGAGCCTGGCCAGCGATTCTCGATTTTCTTAAGGCACTCACTCTGATTGTCTCTGCCAAACTGATATTGAGCCTGTGCAGAGATCTACAGTTATCAAAAAAAGAAGGACCATTCAAGAAATCATGCTCCGTCCGACCCGCAATCGTAAATAAACTTTATGGGTATTCCTTATCCCCATAAAAAAAGAAATCCTCGTGACGCCCTCTTAGTCTCCAAGGGATTGTAGAGTTTCATTTGAGATTAAGTGGAAGAGCGCAATTCCTTCATTTCTTCCTTTCCTATTCGTTCCTGTTACTTTGTTGCAATCATGCTTAAAAAAAATGCTAACAGTTGAAACGAACTCTAAAATACTGAGGGTGTAAACTGTTAGGATTTGATCGTAATTAAAAAGGCGATAAAATATCATCTCAGTCTGATGTTAATGTCTTGACAAGATCTTACTACAGTGTGGATAGCCTTAAATCTGGAAGTTTGTTTGCATTGATTTATTTACGCCAAACGTTACATCTAACTGGGTTCTCGGTAATCCTCAACGGAAATCAATCATATAACCGTAAAATCTTCTGATTGCATGATCCAGTTTATGTTTTATTCAATACCCACTACACTATCATAACAAGAGTATTTCTAAGCCCCTCTTTTTTTTCCTTGCATGTGTCATTGCATCAGTAACTGAAGGCAGGCTGTAAAGAAAAATAAAAAGGAATAAATAAGAAGAAGTGGATATAATACAGGCTTTTGCCTTAGCGTGAGTTATTTAACTGAGAACGTGTAAAGTAAATTTTAAACTCTTCAATTTTGTATCAAACTACCTTTTAGGACTCCACTGGAGATTCGGTGCTTTTTGTCGGCTCCACTGGAGATTCGGTGCTTTTTGTCGGCTGCACTGGAGATTCAGTGCTTTCTGTTGGCTCCACTGGTGATTCGGTGCTTTCTGTTGGCCCAGCGGCCGCGGATGTCTCAGTTGGTTCGCTACCCTTGAAACACCAAGGTACATAAGGTACCGTGTGATCAAAACAACAACCGCGATCGTCTTCGCATTCTTCCCGTTGAATCCCATAGTAGCCACAATCTTCCCGTTCCTCTGGTGCAATCCCGTAGCATTTGTTATCTGGATGAAAATTAATTACAGAAGATGCTGAAATTCACTATGGTGTGTATTTTATTATTGGCTTTATCGCGCTATGTTCCCGCTTTTAATTCACGTGGAAGGTAGGTCATAGAAAATAATGAAAATAAATGATGAAAACAACATTGCGGTGCTAAAACTTTACAAAATGATTTATTTCCCCTGCACTGTATACAAACCAGTTGGATAAAAACACCACTTAGTTTCGAAGCCAAAGTCAGTGTCGTCATAGCAACAGCCTCTGTCTTCGCAGGTTTCCTTGTCAATCCCGTACCATCCACAATCGTTTCGGTCTTCAGGACTTACACTGCATGTGTCAGCTATGTTGAAAAAAAAAAGTTGATATAGACCTAGTTTTAACCAAACTTATTCACGTCCATGTTAAAGGTGAAGTTCTTTTATTATTGATTTTTTCATAATTCATTGCAATTCTATTTGAGCTACCTTTAAAGGATCCAGATGTCCTCAAAGGGAGGGTGGGGGTTGGTAAAGTGATAAGGGGCCATTCCGTCATGGGAAGGATCAAAATTAGGGTAACTTGGTGACGCTAATCGCGTGATAAGTATGCTCTGTGGTAACTCAAGCCTTTACCTGTATGATGAACCAGTGAAGAAAGTTGATCTTTCCCATTTTCTCTGTAGCAGCTAAATGAAATTTGCAAACTTTGAACGAATCTTTCTTTTTGTTTACAGCCACAATTGCAAGGAGTATCGCATATTTTTCAAAGATAACTGTAAAAATTATTTTGATTATATTTATTTGCTTTTTTTGGTCTTGTGTAAAATCCAGACGTGGACTAATGCAAACGATCATCAAAACTCCGCCTTTTGTAATTGTTTTCGTGTAACCATTATGGTCTAGTTTAAAGAATCAAGTATAGAGAGTATACAGGCGATATAAAAGTAATGTTACCTGCTAATGAGTAGCCTGTAAAAGAGAGAAAAGAATGACTGCAGTGAGTATTCCGAAAAGATCGACTAACGAAAAAAACCTACGTCTCACACAAACAGTATGGTCGTTTTGCAAACTAAATTTTGACCAATCTTAGGGGGCGTTCTATATCGTGCCTATTGCCATTCACAGTTAAGACTGAAAATAATTAATATACCAGGTGGAGTGATTGGTTAAAGAAGAATAACATAAAAAGGAGTCTAAAGGGTTTGTTAGGCATGACTCTCCCAATGGAATATATTAAAATATTAAACAAAAAACAAGGGTGTGACCGTGGCTCAGCTGAACTTCCTAAGCACAAATTGATGAATATGTCCTTGTTGACCAGAAACAAAGACTAAGCAATATTTTATCAGCGACGTTGTTTGTCTATTTTTATGGAAATGGAAAAAAATATTAAGAATGATAATGCAGTATTTTGAATAAATACAAACTGATCATGAATTCTGAATTTTGTATTAAGGTGGCCGAACACAGTTTTCGCGCGCGCTTTTGCTGATGCAATTCAGCGCGCGCACAAGGATTGCAAAAAACAAACATGCCGCCGTCAATAGAGCGATCATTTTATTTACTCAGCACTCGCACTATCTGTGCTATTTTTCTCTATAATTGAACGCAGTGTATTGGTGGCTTTAGTCTTTTATCATAAATATATGTTAGAAAAGGGAAAGATGCAAAGAACTCAGCAATTCGCAGCTTTTTCTTTGTTACCGAAAGAACCCAGTTAAATGCAGCGCATGCGTAGTAAGTCAAAAAATTGCGATT